ATATTATGTAAACAAAAACATTTATTTTGGATGCGATTAATCGCGTTTAATCATTTGACAGCTCTAATAATGTTTGGGAAAATGTAACCGTTGTCTTGGACTTTTTTTAATGCTTGGGAAAAGATTAAAAGTAAATTTAGTGTATCGCCAACTCCTAAAAATGCATGTAGAGAATTGACACTTGAAGTTGTGAGATTCTTGCCCTTTTATTTCCATCGAAAGATGTTCACCAGGAGAAGGTCCGTCCTTGTGAGAAGTAGTTCCTCAATATGTATGGACCATAAATGTAATGGATTAAAATGCATGTTTTTATTTTTTATTTTATTTTGTCATTGTTTACAATTTCGTTTTTTTATATTATTTTATTACGTTATTATTATTGGTGTTGTTGTCTTTTTTATTTTAATGCATATTTTAATATTTAATTTAGAATAATTAACTATTAATAATTATTAGTGCTGTCAAACGATTAATCGCGGTTAATCGCATCCAAAATAAAAGTTTTTGTTTAAATTATATATGTGTGTATTGTGTATATTTATAATGTGTATATATAAATACAAACACATGCATATATATATTTTCCGTCCTTGTGAGAAGTAGTTCCTCATTCCTGTGTTGAAAGTGTAGCATGTGTGTGAAGAGGAATCGTTAAAACAGAAGAAAGTTGGGTTTTTTTAGACCTTTGAGTTTCAGGGCTCATAGTCGAATCTCTGCTGTGCTCATGGGTTTGATTAGAGCTGTAAACTTTTTTATTTTATGTATTAAATGTAATATTTTAGTTGTTTTTTTTCCTATTTTAGATGTACTGTTTACATTTTAAATGTTATATTAATGTATATTTTTTATTTTATATTATTTTACTTCACTTAATATTTTTATAGAAAAAAGAAAACATCTAAAATACAGTAAGTGAAATAAAAATCATATACAATAAAATATATTTTATTTTTATTATATTTTTATATATTGCATTTTATGGTTTTTGTATTTTAGTTGTTTGTTTTAAATTTTATTTTGGATTTTTATTTTAGATTTTATTTTGATATTTTCTTTTTCTTTTATTTTATTTTTTCTTTGTAGGGTTAGGGTTGTAATAGGTCTGTCATTTTAATTATCTTCATATAACAGCAATGTAAAAACAAAAACCGTATTTTTGGTTGCATACATGTTGTGAAATGTGTGTTTGTGTATTTTTAGAGTATTTTATTAAATATATTTTATTTGAAATTTATTTTCATTTAATATTTTATTTTGATATTTTAATTGTTTTTTTATATTTCTTTATGTAGTATTTATTTTATTTTTCTGTAGTCATTATAATTATCTTAACATAAAAACAAATGAACTGTATTGTATGTTGTACATACATTGTGAAAAGTGTGTGTGTGTTAGTGTGTTTGAGTGTGTGTGAGTGAGTTTGTGTGAGACCGATACGGTGCCGAAAACAAGTTTCATGTCATGCGTCTGACTGTTGATTTTGGCTCATGTGGAGTTTTGTTCCGCCTCCTGCATTTTTCCCAGCGTGTCCAGTCAGTGTCACACCCCTGGAGCATCCTGTTAGCTTTTGTTGTGTGTGTGTGTGTGTTTGTCATTGTTAAAACAGTTTCTCCTGTCCCAGCTAATCATACAGAAGCAGTCATTATTTTTGCTGTTTGGTTTGGTAACGTTAGTGTTGCAGAAATAACAGATGAAGCACCTACTTTCTCTAACAGGATTTGAATGCTAACTTAATCCATGTAGTAAATTACAGTCACCCTGCAGCATCGTTATTAGATCAGAACGGCTGTTTGGTCGCAGTGTTGAGGGCCGTTGCGTGTGTTCAGCGTGTTGAAGTGTGTCTCTGAGCTCATGGTGATTTTGATGTGGACGCTGGTTTTTAAAGTGAAATGGCATTATAGGGGCGCTTTAAAAGTGTTTCACCTGCGCTGCACATGGCTGCCCATTGCTCCGGGTGTGTGTTCACGGTGTGTATGTGTGTGTTCACTTGGATGGGTGAAATGTACTTGACCACATGTCACCTAACTTTCACTTAGCTTTTGTTGTGTCGTTCATTGCATGCTAAAATCCCAGTTTATTATGTAATTATTCAGGATGTTACTATGTAATCACTTTAAGTAGTCTGCACTGTTTCAAAAGTAGAGTCTCAAGACTTTGTATTTTATTATACATTTAGTGTTTCACAACCGTTTGCACTCTATGGAGCACTGTTTGCTCTCGTTGCCTTCCCTTTTTACTTATTTTATTTTATTATTATATTAATTTATTTGTTTTTTGTATTAAACAGGGTCATTCTTTAAAGACGGGATCTGCAGGTTAAACTGGGCTGCTTCCATACTGTCTGCTTCCTCTTCACTGCTTTTATTTTTTTGTTTTGTCTTTTTTTTTTTCATTTTCATCATCTTGTCTTTTTTATTTATTTGGTATGTTTATGTATTCTTTTTTTTTTATGTTTCTTTTTTTTTATTTTTATTTTTTATATATTTGTTTTGTATTTCATGTATTTTTCATTTTCTTTTCTTTAATTTCTTTTAATTTCTTTTATTTTTCTTGATTATATCGTTTTTATTTTGTATTTTTTTTGTTTTGTTTTCTTTTTATTTATGTATTTATTTTTTACTATTTTTTAGTAATTTCGTTTTTTTATTTTAGATTTTTATTTTATTTTTTATTTCATATATTATTCCATTTGTGTGAACCTTTCTTCAAAATATAGCGGCCCAGGTCAACCTGCAGATTCTTCTACACTGTCTGCTTCCTCTTCACTGCTTTTGTAACATTTTATTTTATTTTGTATATTTTTTTATTTTATGTATTATCTCATTTTCTTTTGTTCATTATTTTATTTTATTTTTATTTTATTTTATTTTATTTTACAATTATCTTCCATTCCAGCATAAATTTTCAGTGCTAATTATTTTCTGTGCTGCCAGCGTTGTGCCACAGATGCTTAGTTTGAGTTTGCATTTATATGAACAGGATGATTCTTTACAGATAGGATCTGTAGGTCGACCTGAGCCGTTTCCACACCGTCTGCTTCCTCTCCGCTGCTTCTGTTGTTCACGTTTGTGCCTGAGTGTTGATTGTTGCTCTTTGTCTGAGCGCCTTCAACTTCCTCCTGCAAGTGTTTCTTTGTGTTGCCAGTGCTCCACCTTTACCCCTATTATGAGCAGCCCCATCGGGCACAAAAGAACTGGCCTTGCAGAAACGCTCGGCCTTCCTAATATGGAAGCGACTGAGGACGCGGAATGGATTCGCCGAGTCACAGCAGTTTTTGTAGGAAGTGTGGCCTATTTGTCGCCCGCTCGAGGACGGAGGTTATTTACGAGGAATGTGGAGGTCGTGACGGATGTTATGTGATTAATGAGGTCAAATGAAGCCGTCTAGACGGCGTGATGAGAATCAGCTGATAAATAAGAACGTGAAGCATGTTTGTGGGTTCGTGAAAAGCAAAACATCTCCAAATGCACAAACCCTGATGCACTTTGACTGGAGGTTTGTTGACAGTCATATTTCAGATTGTGTTCACGTCACAATGGTGGGATAATGCCTGAGATTTAATTTATCACACGCCTGTGTTTGTCTATTTAGCTTTTTAATGTACATTTATTTAGCATTTTTTTAAAGCAACTTATTTTTTGTCAGTCTGATCAAATTCTCTTCTGCTCGCTAAGCCTGCATTTATTTGATTAAAAATACAGTAAAAATAGTAAAAATGTGAAATATTATTACAATTTAAAATAACTGTTTTCTATGTGAATATTTTGTAAAAATGTAATTTATTTCTGTGATCAAAGCTGAATTTTCAGCATCATTACTCCAGTCTTCAGTGTCACATGATCTTCAGAAATCATTCTAATATGCTGATTTGCTGCTCAAGAAACATTTCTGATTATTATCAATGTTGAAAACAGTTGTGCTGCACAATATTTATGTGCAAACAGTGATGCATTTTATTTTTCAGGATTCACAGATGAACAGAAAGTTCAAAAGAACAGCATTTATTTGACACAGAAATCTTTTGTAACATTATAAATGTCTTTACTGGCACTTTTGATCAATTGCGTCCTTAATGAATAAAAGTATTCATTTCTTTCTTTATTTTTATTTTTTTTACATGTGCATTTTCATGTGTTCATTTGGCAGATTCTTTTATCCAATAATCCAACTGCAAATTGTCTGTTTTTGATCTTAGTGCAACTAATTGCACATGCATGTTTGTTTACATTTCTTTTATTTAGCTGATACTATTATCAGTTTCTCAATTGTACGTTGCCTTGGATAAAAGAGTCTTTTCTAGCATGTTCTAAGTCAGAAGATTCTCTCTTTTAATGGAAATGTGCCTTGTAGAGTGATTTCTCCCATTCGTTTTTCCTCAACTCTGATATAAACTAGACCCCAAACGTGGATCTGATCCTTCACCGTCATAAGAGAGCTAAACATGCGTTTTAGTCTCCTCAGAGCCTCCAAACCACCCGAAGATTCATCTGGAAAACTCATATGTCTCCTCAGATACTACAGCATGTTTTTTGTCTCATCAGAGGCTGAACTCGTTGTTTTATGGTGTGAAGACAGTTTGTGTGGTTATTCCTGCACGGCCTTCAGCTCTTGGCAGCGGTGAACAGGGGATGCTGGGATTGAATGCCATAGTTTGCTCTCTGCTTTATTAATGGCCCGTGTAATGTAGTGTACAGTGGAAGGTGCCGTTTGTTTGAGTGGCAGCCAGAATAGAGTCGTTATTCAAACCATATCTCTCACACACTCTCTCACACACTCTCTCACACACATACTCACACTCATCTCTCTCACACTCACTCTCTCACACACACACACACACACACACAGAGGATCTGGACTTCTCTGTCAAACTTATGCTGTTTTTTGCATATTTACATATTGACTTTTATTCATTCAGCAGATCATTGTTTTGCAATCACGAGGTCTTATGTTAAACATCTGTTCTGTCTTTGCAGATCTTCCAGCATCATTAAAACGGACACCCCCAAGGTACGAAAACTTCAAACGACATAATTATATGTAATGCGTGTCCTAACCAGGCGCAACTTTAGTTGCGTTTATAGTATCAGGTAATTTGGCAGTAAAATGTGATTTAAAAAAAAAGTTTATAAAGTGTTTAAATATACAAAAGAGTGCTAATAATTACCAAAAGAAAGTAGTTCATGATTAAGCTCTTTTTTTATGTTGTTTTTATTTTATTTTGTGTTGTCATTTTTTATTTTATTAAATGTATTTAATTCTTTTTAATTTTTTTTTATTTATTTAATTTATTTTTTCTTTTCTTTTCTTTTCCCTTTAGGGTTAGGGTTCTTTATAATTAGCATCATATGAAAACAAATTATCTATTATATTGCAATTATATTATATGTTTGTATATATATATTGCAAAGTTTGTGTGCTTGTGCTAAATTTTTAGAGAAAGAAAATCTCACTATAAACCCCTTTTTAGTGGTATATAGGCTTTATGTAGCTGATGACAACAAAAAAGTTGTTCGCCATTTTTGATGTCAAAATTAAATATGCACATTAAATAAGCTGACAGAATATGATTGGGTTTGCTTAAACCATTTATAACCTTTCCCTAATGAAAAGGTGTCTATGTGACATTTAGTGTCAAAGAAGAAGCGAAATGCTGTTTGAAATGATAAAATCACAGCCATTAAGAGTATATTTTAATATACGGCAATGCTTGTATCAATGAGATTTCACTGTGGGCGGGGCCTCCCGGTGCATTATGACAGAATATAAATGAGGCGACCACTCAAATGCCTCATCACACAGCACTTGTCATGGCTGGTGAGATTTGTGGCTTTGCATCACACCTGGTTAGGACACGCATGCGGAGCGTGTGCTGCATGATCTACTGCATGACACTGAAGATCTGCTTCCCCTCATTACAGTCCGGTAGTAGGAGAATATTTCAGTTATACTGTCTCATTTATTATAGTTAAATAAAAAGAAAACCATAAATTAACTAGAATAAAATATTAAAAAACCTTAAACTTATTTTATTTCAGCTAGTTTTCATTTAGTGTAACTGGATGTACTAAAGTAACAAACTGAAATAAAAATGAAAAACTATAGATAAAATAAAAATTAAACTAGACAAAAACAAAAACGTGTTAAAAAAAAAGGAAAAAACAAATTTAATATAAAAATGAAAACAGAAAATAAAAAAATAAAAGAACTCATTCAAAGCATCAATAAAAACTATAATTTAATCTAAAATAACACATTCACTATATAATTAACAGTATAGACACATATATTTTATATTTTTATATTTTCTGTTTTCATTTTAATATGAAAGTTTTAGTCATTTTAATTTATTAGTTTTTTAAATGTCTATTTATATATTTATTTCAATTTTATTACAATATTATAATTTTATTTTTTTTAAATATATAATATAATTTATTTTATTTAATATAATAGTTTTAATTTTTATTTCAGTTTTTATTTTAGTACATAAAGTTAAACTAAATGAAAATTGGGAACTAGCTAAAAAAAAAATAAGTTTAACGTTTTTATAATTTTATTTCAGTTAATGTTTATTGTATTTCAAGAAATGGAAATGTTCTTTTATGGCTTTAGTTAACTATAATAACCCTTATAATAATGTGAATTAAAATGAATCCTGTAATCAATTAGTCATGCAAATTAATTGGCCACAGACTGTATGTTAAACCACATGTGAAAGAGTGAAGTGAGCGTGCTTTAGGGCTGTAATGAGGGACTCCTGTATGCGTGTGCTGTGTGACGTGAGCATGTGTTGCATGTGTTTCATCACTTCCTGTAGGAGGAACCGCTGGAGATCATAAAGCCCGTGCCCATTAGCAGCCCCGCCAGCCTCGCCCCGGGCAGCAGTGCCTACAATAAGACGGCGCGGCCCTTCGGCGGGACCGCTAGCACCGTCAGATCAGTCAGTCCGTCCCCGGCCGCACCCAAAGCCTCCATCCCCTCCGCCTCCTCTGCGTTCACCCCAGCTGCTCCGTCCCAGCAGCCTCCTCAGCCTCCCTTCCCGCTGGGCACCAGCCGCGGGCTGTCCTCTCCAAGCTCCGCCCCCAAACCCGCCTCTGGCCACTCCCCCTTTGCTAACTCCTCCTCTGCATCCTCCTCTGGCTCCTCCTCCCCGGCTAGAGTGACGGCTCCGCCCCCGGCCCCCGCTGCTCCTCTTCCGTCCGTCTATAACACGCCCATCAACCTCTACTCCAATGCGAACGCGTGCGAGGTGGCCATGGGCCAGAGACGCGGCCTGCTGGAGAGCATAGCTACAGGGGAACAGCACAACGGGTAGGTGGAGCGTCCCGACCGGCCAATCAAAATCTACTTCCTGTGCTTCATACTTCTACTTCCTTCCTCACTGTTCTCAGAGGGCTTGCTTTGATCTGTTATTCAGAAAGGGCTTTAATGCCGTGGTAAAGGAATATTCTGGGTTACTCTGTGAACAGTATTTGTGACACTTCTATTAACACAGAAAATAATCTCAACTAATGAGGGGTTTAAAAATTGAGCGACCGAGCAGTGTTATAAACTATATAGATGTGTTTAAAAAAAAAAAAAAAAAAAGTCAAAAACACACCACAATTATTACAACATCAACTATAATGAAAACAGAAAATAGCTAAATCAAAACTACTTTTAGTTTTATTCATATTTTAAATTAATTTTTATTTCCGTTTTAGTTATTTTAGTATCAGGTTAAACTAAATGTAAAAGAGAAATGTTGCCTTTTTGCACCTAGCTGAAATAAAATAAGTTTTTTTTTTTTAAATGTTATTTAATAAATATTTATACAAATTATTTTTTATATTATTTATTTTAAAGTTTTTTATGGTTTTAGATTTAGTTAACTATAAAGACCCTGGGACAGAGAAAAATGATTAATTTATTATGAAATATTTATTTTAAAATGATTAGGTAAATTCTTTTTTTATTCAAAATTATAATCATGTGTTTAGCTTATAAGTAGTAGTAGTAGTAGTAGTAATAATAATCTATATATATATATATATATATAACTTTTACTTTTTTAACACCTTTAAATTAAATTAGTTTTAAGTATTTTAAAATTATTATTTGTATTTATTTTATTTAACTTAAGCACATTAACTAACATTGCTACATTAAATACTGCATATTATTAGTTCAAAAGTCAGACGTTAGGAATTACTTAGAAATCTCATAAATGGTCTATTCTTCTATTGGTACGACAGACAAGTAAGCCCCGCCCCAAGCTCACATTATTGGTTATTAATTACGGAGTCTTGATTTGATGTATTAGATTTGATAAATATCTTTTGCTTGAAAACTGTGGACATAGAATCCATGCATGTGATCCAGCTGTGATTAAAATCAGGAATATAAATCTTGTGTTTTGGTTAAAGCACTTAAAAAGGAATTATACAGTAAAATATGTGTTATTTGAGTTGTCTAAAACGTCCTTTTGATGTGGGACTACTGTTTTAGATGTCTGTTGCTGATGTGTAATTGCTGTTTGTTTGAGTTTGCTCACATAAGCAGTACTTTATGGATAATTACGTCACGCCCCTTTAGTTTTAATTATTTTCTGTGGTAACCGAGAGCATGTCATAGTCGAAGTTGTAAATAAAGCAGAATATTCCCTCTGCAGTTGAAGGGAATCGCAGTCTGCGGGATGCTTTGAGCAGCTCTCTGTGGGGAAGCGTGTGGGAAAATTGGGAGCCAATGTGAAAAGTGATGGTTTTCCAAAACAACTGTTTGAGCGAGTAACCGTCTGTGCCAAAGACTCAGAATCACTTATTCAGTGAGATGAGCTAGTGTGACGAATCTGTACAAAATCAGCGCTGTTAGTCCTTCAGTTAGTTCATGTGCGTTTCTGGATGAGCGTTTTCGTTGTTAAAATTTTTTTTATTTATTGTTACATTTATTATTATCTTTTGCTGTATTTCTTTTAGATATTTTAAATAGTTTTTAAATTATTATTAATTGAATTTTCCATTAATTTATTATTATTATTATTCTTTTTTTAGAATTAAATATTTATTATTTTATTATTATTATTATTATATTATTACATTTATTATCTTTTTTGTTTGTTTATTTATTTATTTAAAAATGTAGTATATTTTAAGTATTTTTATTGATAATAATAATAATTTAATTATCCATTGTAGTATTTGTTTATTATTTAGATGAAAATTTTGAATTGCTGTTAATTTATTACATTTATTTTTAACTTTTGTTATATGTTAGATATTATTATTATTCATTGATTTATTATTTATTTTATTTGTATTATTCAGAGTTAAATTAACTTATTATTATTACATAATTATCTTTTATTTATTTTAGATATTTATTATTATTATTAAATTGTACATCTGTTTGTTGTATTTTTTATTATTTAGATTTAAAGATTAAGTTATTATTAAAGTTATTATTGTCTTTTGTTGTATTTAGTTTAGATATTTTAAATAGTTTTGTAGTATTATTAATTTAATTATTAATTGATTTATGATTTATTTTATTATTAAGATTTAAATTTAAAATCTAGATTTAAAAGCACATTTTTAATGCGTCTTCACTCTATGTGGTCTTGTTTTCATAGACTGGTTTTATTTACTCGCTCACTATAGTTTTGACATGGAAGTCAACGGCAGATCACAGAAAGCTCGTAAAGCGCTAATGAGTCCGTCATCTTCTGTGTGAGAGCGAGCGCGTTCCCTCTCATGTGGTTTCACTGATCCCAGTATAAACACGTAAACCGTGTGTCCCACATGCTGAGACTCGGATAAACAAAACACAAGAAACGAGCTCATGTCACTCGTTCTGCGCAGCTTTAGATGCTTCGTGTTGAATGTCAACATGTATAATGCATTGAGTTTTTAACGGCTTTGAAAATTTGTAACGGATCAAAATATCTATTTGAAATACTGCCGCATGTCGCTCATGTCATCTCTGCATCCGTGCTTGTTTTGGCCACGTCCTTCATAATATATTATTATGAGCTTCCTGGTTCCAGTGATAGTGAAGTCAACAGGAAAAGAGGAAGAACAGGTAGACAGAAGAAATCCAGAGATCCTCTCTTTTAAAGCAGTAGTTCACCCAAAATCACATTGCTGTCATCATTTTAACCTTTTAGTTTCAAAGCCTGTGACTTTGGTGTAGAAACAATTTTCACTCAGAGATGGCTAGAAAATTTCACAATTACAAAGAAGCAAAGTAACATACTGAATCAAACCGGACATTTTGAAGCAGAAAGACTGAAATAGTATTTTTAATAGTTTTGCAGAGTTAAATTAACTTATTATTATTACATAATTATCTTTTATTTATTTTAGATATTTATTATTATTATTAAATTGTACATCTGTTTGTTGTATTTTTTATTATTTAGATTTAAAGATTAAGTTATTATTAAAGTTATTATTGTCTTTTGTTGTATTTAGTTTAGATATTTTAAATAGTTTTGTAGTATTATTAATTTAATTATTAATTGATTTATGATTTATTTTATTATTAAGATTTAAATTTAAAATCTAGATTTAAAAGCACATTTTTAATGCGTCTTCACTCTATGTGGTCTTGTTTTCATAGACTGGTTTTATTTACTCGCTCACTATAGTTTTGACATGGAAGTCAACGGCAGATCACAGAAAGCTCGTAAAGCGCTAATGAGTCCGTCATCTTCTGTGTGAGAGCGAGCGCGTTCCCTCTCATGTGGTTTCACTGATCCCAGTATAAACACGTAAACCGTGTGTCCCACATGCTGAGACTCGGATAAACAAAACACAAGAAACGAGCTCATGCCACTCGTTCTGCGCAGCTTTAGATGCTTCGTGTTGAATGTCAACATGTATAATGCATTGAGTTTTTAACGGCTTTGAAAATTTGTAACGGATCAAAATATCTATTTGAAATACTGCCGCATGTCGCTCATGTCATCTCTGCATCCGTGCTTGTTTTGGCCACGTCCTTCATAATATATTATTATGAGCTTCCTGGTTCCAGTGATAGTGAAGTCAACAGGAAAAGAGGAAGAACAGGTAGACAGAAGAAATCCAGAGATCCTCTCTTTTAAAGCAGTAGTTCACCCAAAATCACATTGCTGTCATCATTTTAACCTTTTAGTTTCAAAGCCTGTGACTTTGGTGTAGAAACAATTTTCACTCAGAGATGGCTAGAAAATTTCACAATTACAAAGAAACAAAGTAACATACTGAATCAAACCGGAAATTTTGAAGCAGAAAGACTGAAATAGTATTTTTAATAGTTTTGCTTTTGTTGAATGAACGGAAGCAGCTTTAAATGCAGCTTAATATCTTCTGTTGTGTTTTCTGTCGTGGAGTGTTTATTTTAAATTTCATATTTTGTGACTTAATTATTAGTAATTGTTTTATTTTGATTGATTTTTATTTTTACAATTTAATTTAACATTTTTATGGTTTAATTGCTTATTAGTGATTTGTTTTTATTTTATATATTTCTTTTTAATTTCTTGTTTTTGATTTAATTACTTATTATTAAGTGTTTTATTTCAATTTTTATTTCATTATTATTTTTTAGTTTTATGTTTATGATTTAATTACTTATGAGTGTTTTATTTGTATTTTTTATTTCTAAATTGTATAATTTATTTTAATATTTAATTTTAATAATTATTTACTTAGTTTTATTATTATTTTAAAATTGTAATTTTACATTTTTATGATCAAATTAATAGTAAATGTTTTATTTTTATTTGTTTTTATTTTACATTTATTTATTTAATTTGAATGATTTATTTACTTAGTGTTTTATTTTTAATTTTCAATTATTTTAATAAATAAATTTATTTAATTAATTTTACATTTTTATGATGTAATTGCTTTAGTAGTAAGTGTTAGATTTTGATTTGTTTTTATTTTAAAATGATGTATTTTAATTCATTTTTATGAGTTAATTCTTGGCTTTTCATCAGCTCATGATGAAGCCCTCTGTTAGGTGTATAGTGAGTGAATGTAGACATGATGTCTGTGTTTCCGGCGTCTGACTGCTGCTGTTGCGTCTGGTTACAGCTTCTCATTTACTATGTACAGCCTTCAGCCTCGGCAGGAATGTTTGTAAAATTCTCTGCAAGAGTTTCCAGCTGCTTTTACTGACTCAACCAATTAGTATCCCGGGAGAAGCAGCCGGAGTGAGTTTTGACTCATGTTCTCACTCAAATTAACGTCATTAACTCTCTGATGAGGGAAAGGACCGTAGTTCTGTGTGCTGCATTCATGGACGTCTTTGATGGATCCGAAAACACTGGGAGTTTGTTTCCAAGTGTGTGTGTGTGTGTGTATTATTAAAGTTATTATTGTCTTTTGTTGTATTTAGTTTAGATATTTTAAATAGTTTTGTAGTATTATTAATTTAATTATTAATTGATTTATGATTTATTTTATTATTAAGATTTAAATTTAAAATCTAGATTTAAAAGCACATTTTTAATGCGTCTTCACTCTATGTGGTCTTGTTTTCATAGACTGGTTTTATTTACTCGCTCACTATAGTTTTGACATGGAAGTCAACGGCAGATCACAGAAAGCTCGTAAAGCGCTAATGAGTCCGTCATCTTCTGTGTGAGAGCGAGCGCGTTCCCTCTCATGTGGTTTCACTGATCCCAGTATAAACACGTAAACCGTGTGTCCCACATGCTGAGACTCGGATAAACAAAACACAAGAAACGAGCTCATGCCACTCGTTCTGCGCAGCTTTAGATGCTTCGTGTTGAATGTCAACATGTATAATGCATTGAGTTTTTAACGGCTTTGAAAATTTGTAACGGATCAAAATATCTATTTGAAATACTGCCGCATGTCGCTCATGTCATCTCTGCATCCGTGCTTGTTTTGGCCACGTCCTTCATAATATATTATTATGAGCTTCCTGGTTCCAGTGATAGTGAAGTCAACAGGAAAAGAGGAAGAACAGGTAGACAGAAGAAATCCAGAGATCCTCTCTTTTAAAGCAGTAGTTCACCCAAAATCACATTGCTGTCATCATTTTAACCTTTTAGTTTCAAAGCCTGTGACTTTGGTGTAGAAACAATTTTCACTCAGAGATGGCTAGAAAATTTCACAATTACAAAGAAGCAAAGTAACATACTGAATCAAACCGGACATTTTGAAGCAGAAAGACTGAAATAGTATTTTTAATAGTTTTGCTTTTGTTGAATGAACGGAAGCAGCTTTAAATGCAGCTTAATATCTTCTGTTGTGTTTTCTGTCGTGGAGTGTTTATTTTAAATTTCATATTTTGTGACTTAATTATTAGTAATTGTTTTATTTTGATTGATTTTTATTTTTACAATTTAATTTAACATTTTTATGGTTTAATTGCTTATTAGTGATTTGTTTTTATTTTATATATTTCTTTTTAATTTCTTGTTTTTGATTTAATTACTTATTAAGTGTTTTATTTCAATTTTTATTTCATTATTATTTTTTAGTTTTATGTTTATGATTTAATTACTTATGAGTGTTTTATTTGTATTTTTTATTTCTAAATTGTATAATTTATTTTAATATTTAATTTTAATAATTATTTACTTAGTTTTATTATTATTTTAAAATTGTAATTTTACATTTTTATGATCAAATTAATAGTAAATGTTTTATTTTTATTTGTTTTTATTTTACATTTATTTATTTAATTTGAATGATTTATTTACTTAGTGTTTTATTTTTAATTTTCAATTATTTTAATAAATAAATTTATTTAATTAATTTTACATTTTTATGATGTAATTGCTTTAGTAGTAAGTGTTAGATTTTGATTTGTTTTTATTTTAAAATGATGTATTTTAATTCATTTTTATGAGTTAATTCTTGGCTTTTCATCAGCTCATGATGAAGCCCTCTGTTAGGTGTATAGTGAGTGAATGTAGACATGATGTCTGTGTTTCCGGCGTCTGACTGCTGCTGTTGCGTCTGGTTACAGCTTCTCATTTACTATGTACAGCCTTCAGCCTCGGCATTGTAAAATGTAAAATTCTCTGCAAGAGTTTCCAGCTGCTTTTACTGACTCAATCAATTAGTATCCCGCAGCCGGAGTCCGGAGTGAGTTTTGACTCATGTTCTCACTCAAATTAACGTCATTAACTCTCTGATGAGGGAAAGGACCGTAGTTCTGTGTGCTGCATTCATGGACGTCTTTGATGGATCCGAAAACACTGGGAGTTTGTTTCCAAGTGTGTGTGTGTGTGTGTGTGTGTGTGTGTGTGTGTGTGTGTTTGTTTGCACTGATGAAGTCAAAACATGCGTGTGTGAAACCTGAAACTTACGCAAACACATGAACGCAAAATATTATATTTTATTTTTGTCTAATTTTCCAGTATAAATACTTAAGCATCCTTAAAACAAGATGCCAATTGTTTAAGATAAGACTTGTTTTCAGTGTTTATTAATTGACTGTTTTGTAATAAAAATATGTATTTATTTTTAATTTAGCAGATGGTTTTATTTAAAGTGACTTAACAATACATGTGATTTTTTTTTACACTTTTATTTTAATTATTTACCAGATGCTTTTATTCAGAATGACTTAAATTTTTATTTGATTTTTTATTTAGCTATTTTTTTTATTCAGTGACTTAAAAATAAATGTAAATACATTTTTATTTTATTTATTTAGCAGATGCTTTTATTCAGTGACAAAAATAGATGCAGTATTTTTATTTTATTTTTATTTGTTTAAAGTGACTTAAAAATAGATGTAATCTTTATTGTATGTTTATTCATTTATCTGATGCATTTATTTAAAGTTTCTTAAAATAGTTTGTGTATGTATGTATGTATGCATGTATGCATGTATGCATTTATTTATTTTTAAGCAGATGATTTTATCCAGAGTGGCTTGCAAATAAGCAATACAGCAAAGCAGCTCATCCTAAATATATTTATATTTTCTGAAAATTCTTATCTTTTACAATTTTGCTTCTCAAGTCAATTTACTTCAAGGACGTTTTTCTTCTCTGTTCAGTTTTCTCTATCATCAGATAGCAACAGTTTGAAGAGGGCGAGTTAGTTTATCATACACTAGTATTCATTAGTACTGGTATTAGTTTACTGTCATGTGTTTAAGGCGAGAAGACACGTGAAGTTAGTTCAGCTTCACTGTGTGCTCTTGCGTCGGTGTGTTTGCGTGGTTTCTGTCAGAAGTGCATGTGTGTGAGTTTCTGCATGGTGAACAGAAGAGCTGCAGATGTCTCACTCTCCTCCCGTCTCTCTCTCTACAGGAGGAGCCCATGACAAAGTTAGTGTACTAGATGCTGTAGTGTTCTGTCGCCATCACTAACCCAGCGAACACTCACCATCATCTCTTTCTCAGACTCCTGTGCTCCTAAAGCTCTTTCCATTGTGTCAGAGGGCTTTGATCATGTCAGCATGTGCTGCTGTCAGTCATCATGTGTCCGCGGTTATTCCCGACTGTCAGCCGTATAAATAGCAGCAGTGACATTTACCTCCACATGTATTGTTACAGAACAGAGGGACCAGAGAGATTCCCAGAGAGCCGTTTATCAGAATGACCAGGGGATGGTGGAGCCATCTAGTGGTGATAGTTGACATTGTCCAAACAAAAACTGATTCATGATGCACTCAGCAATGTGGCCTCATTAAAATAAAACTAATTAAAATGTTAGTTTTTTTTTAAATCTGTTTGAAAAGTTAAAAGTATTTGTTAAATTAAGTAAAAAAAAGAAATGAAAGGGTTTTCAAATATTTTTAGATTATTTTTGCAATTCCATTTTGTGCAAAGTTTAGGGTTGTTATAGTTACCTAAAACCATAAAAAACTTTTGTTACATGAAATAAAATAAACATTAACTGAAAAAAAAAAGAAATAGAAAAAAGCTTAAACTTATTTGAGTTCACGTAGTTAGCAAGGAATCATTTCAGTTTCATTTAGTTTAACTAATAAAAATTACTAAAAACTATAAAAACTGAAAGTACTAAAACATAAACCAAAATTAAAATGAAAACAGAAAATATAAATATAACAATTATTCAAGGTATTACTTGAAACAAAATAAACATTAACTGAAATAAAATAAAATATTAAAAGCTTAGATTTATTTATATTTCTGCTAGTTAGCAAGGAAATATTTCTTTTTCATTTAGTTGAACTTGATGTACTAAAATAAATAAAGTCAAAGTCACTTTTATTGTGACGTAGGAGCCAATGTTTAAAAGCGTGTGTCTATCGTAGACAGTTATACTAACAACATCCAACACGTAGAACAACAAAATAACAAGTAAAACCAAAGAAAAACTGCAGAGTTTTCTCGGGAGCTCGCAACACGGCTGCCATGCTCGGCGCCATCTTGAACCAGTCATCAAGTAAATAAAACTAAAACTTACTTTTTTTTATAGAAATTATATAGACGTATTAAAAACAAACCAAAAAAATATAAAAATACAACAACAAAGTACTAAAACTAACAAAAATTGAAAACAAAAATATCAAAATAATATCCAAATATTAATAAAAACTATAATAGTATCTCAATACTAAACACCGATTACTAAAATAATTTAATCTAATAATAAAATCTTTTTATTTTAATTTTTTTGTGAATATCAGCTTTTAGTGTATTGGTAATAGTATTGCTACTGTGACAAAGACTTTTCCCCCTGTTGGGATTAATAAAGTATTTTTTAAATAAATTCAAAAGTCAGTTTATTGACGAAATATTCAGTAGTTATGGGACACATTTTTAATTGTTTGCATGCAGAATTAAACTTCACTTTTTTCATTTGCACAAATAATAATAATATCTCTAATAAACATATTATCAATAAATAAATATAAAATATTATAACAATATTTTCTTGACCTTTTATTTCCATAGTGGACCTCAGAGTATTCTTAAGTAGAAACAATATGAAAAAGTAGAGTGTTAAAATTAAATGTAGGGTTGATTGTTGACTCTTTTCTCTGATTGTCTTGATTTCTGTCTTTTCTCATTTCCTCTCTCATCACCTGTAGAAAGACTCCTCCCAGGTAAACGTATGTGAGTGTGAGAGTGAGTGTGAGAGAGAGTGTGAGTGTGAGTGTGTGTGAGTGAGTGTGTGTGAGTGTGAGTGAGTGTGTGTGAGTGTGAGTGAGTGTGTGTGAGTGTGAGTGAGTGTGTGTGAGTGTGAGTGAGTGTGTGTGAGTGTGAGTGAGTGTGTGTGAGTGTGAGTGAGTGTGTGTGAGTGTGAGTGAGTGTGTGTGAGTGTGAGTGAGTGTGTGTGAGTGTGAGTGAGTGTGTGTGAGTGTGAGTGAGTGTGTGTGAGTGTGAGTGAGTGTGTGTGAGTGTGAGTGAGTGTGTGTGAGTGTGAGTGAGTGTGTGTGAGTGTGAGTGAGTGTGTGTGAGTGTGAGTGAGTGTGTGTGAGTGTGAGTGAGTGTGTGTGAGTGAGTGTGTGTGTGTGAGTGTGTGAGTGCGAGCGAGAGAGCGTGAGAGCGCGTGAGAGTGAGAGTGAGAGGTTGGTTGTTTGATGATGTTTGTATGATGATAATGTGAGAGTGTGTGTGTGTGTGGTTGGTTGTTTGATGATGTTTGTATGATGATAATGTTTGGGGTGTGTGTGTGCATCAGAACCGCCCGGAAGCCCGTCCTGGAGCCGGAGGTGAACCACGTCTCTGCTCTGAGTGACTCCAGTAAGAAGCGTCTGATGGAGGACACGGAGGACTGGCACCCGCGCACCGGCACGTCTCAGTCACGCTCCTTCCGCATCCTGGCGCAGATCACCGGCACAGAGAACGGTACGGACCGTTCAGTCAGGCCTTCTTTACACTTTCAAAAGGTTTACAACAGAACTGTAAAGTGTTTCTTGCTTCTCTCCTCTAGAGCAAGCTCAGGAGAACCGGCCTGGAAAGAAGTAAGTTTTGCTGGTGTGAGTGTGAGTGTGTTCAGATCATCTTATCTGATGTTCCTCTGTCTGATTGTTCATAATCTTCTGTGCTCAAACCATCCTCCCATTGAAGGGGATTGTTAGTAATCAAATGGGATTGTGGGTAAACAGGGCTGTTTTCTGAACATATGTTGTGTTTCAAAATCTAGTGAGCTGCCTTGACATCCTAACTCAAATGAAACAGTCATGATACCGAAATAAATTAAAATAATATAGTGTTCTATAATTTAAAATAATATAAATTGGTTAGAAATATTTATTAAATACAAATAAAATTGTATATATTATTGTAAAATTGTATATGCAATTTATAAATAATATTCAGATAAATTACTAGAATCTAGAAAATGTTTATGTTGGCAGCATGCTAACTGAAATGGAAGTGCTGATATCGAAATGTGGCTGAAATAATATTTAAAATATAAATTGTGTACAAATATGATATTAAATAAAAATGAATTATAAAATATATATTATATTTAGGGCTGTCAATCGATTAAAATTTTTAATCTAATTAATTACACTATCTAATTAATCATATTAATCACACATCAAATTTGGCTGCGAAATCACCCACAAAAGATAATTTAAAGCCATTATTGTTACGAGAAAATCATGAAATAGGTGTTACAGTAGCTTTAGAAAGAAAAGTTTCTTTTTTCATTTTCTCTTTTTTTTCTTTTCTTTTTCATTTTTGGGTGAACTATTCCTTTAATTAGTTCTTTATTAATATGGATTTTTTTTTATTTTCAAGTTTCAAATATGAAATTATTTTTTAATGAAATGATACACTAAATAAGAAACTAAAACTGCCAGTAGGTGGCAGCAAATGTCTTAATGAATAAGTCATTGAGTCGTTCATTCATTCATTCATTCATTTGATTCGTTCAAACGGCGGATTGATTCAGGAATGAAGTAAAGGGCTCTCTTAATGAATGGGCCATTGAATCATTGTTTCACTCGATTCGTTCAAAAACGTGGATTCATTCAGAAATTGTGACTTCAAAGATTTACTCAAACATAATCCTGAAACTGCAAAATGTTCATCTGTTGACAGTTGCTGGAACTGTGTTTGAATGGTCAATCAGGCACAGTTATCGGCTGACGGTGATCTTTAAAAGGCCAAATATCAGCAAATTAATAGTCCTGATCACTATGTTGGTCTAATACTAGAACATTTAGCTTCATGGAAATCTTCTGGCAAATTTCTCAACTTCATCTTAGAAGCGTTTAATATTTTAATAGCTGTTTTCAACACTTGTGTGTTTGTGCTGAGGTTCATTACTCATTCCCTGCGGAGCATTAATCAGTTTATTCCTCTTCATCTCCCGTCTGTCCTGTCTCTCTCTGTGCCGTCGGGCCGTCAGGATGACCAGAGTGGACCCAGAGCTGGTCCGGCCTCAGTACAACAAGCTGAGAGACTGGCATCATGGGGTCTCGGCCCGTGTGCTTAACGTGCAGTAGACCCGCCCACACCTGTCAATCACAGAGTGATGGTCATGTGACCCAGTAGACCCGCCCACACCTGTCAATCACAGAGTGACGGTCATGTGACCCGAGGAAGCGTGTCTATGTTGAGCGTGTGTGAGAGTCGTCAGGGTTTGTGGGGCGTGTTTTGGCTGAAGGATGTTAGATTTGTATGATGGTCTGTTTTTCTTTGCATGACTTTAAGCAGCTCTGTTTCTTCTGTATGTTCTTCTCTGTCTGTACTTGAGTTCACGGCTCTGATGCTCCAGTGTTTCTCTCTGAATCTTCCAATAAAGCTTTTCTTTCGTCTCTCTGCATCTGATGTGTTTCTTCTTTCCTCTGTTTTCTTTTCTTCCTGAACTCTGACTGTTGAAACGGCTTATGTTAACTCGGTGGTTCCCAAACTTTTTCTGCCGGGCCTCCCTTTTGTAGAGAAAAATATTTTCAGGACCCCCTTTTTTTTTATTTATTTTTTTTATTATAAAGAATAAAAATGAAGAATGCTCACCAAGGCTGCATTTATTTATTAAAAATACAGAAATCATTCTAATATGCTGATTTGCTGCTCAAGAAACATTTCTGATTATTATCAATGTTGAAAACAGTTGTGCTGCTTCATATTTTTGAGGAAACTATTTTTCATGATTCTCTTATGAATATAACATGCACCCTCTCATGACCTTGATTGCAAAATTATATGATTTGAAAAATTGTGATTAACATAGTACTACTTGCCGTCGTAACTTGTTCAGCTTCATTACCCACCTTTGTACTGGTGAATCTGAGGGCATATGCTTAGTCATATTTCCTTGTCTTTTCACCACACTGGACGTGACAAAGTGAACATTGCAAATCCAACTGTCCTTTGTGTCAGAGCGCTGGAGTTCGTCAGAAATAAAACTGCATCAGTTTACTGTCATGGATTTGTCGTGTCGCATTGCGCCGCATCCACAGCAGAACATCACTGGGTTCAATTTGCTAGACATGTTGTTTTGGTATTTGTGAATCTTAAGCATGCTCATCATCTGCTTTACGTACCTGGCTCTGGCAGTATTTTCACAAACTTGTAACTTACATGCTTAAAGCAGAACTATGCATCGTTCATTTATATTTCTACATGGCTCCCTGCAATACAACTCTGATTCTTCAAGCACGCCATCTAGTGGTCTGTTATTGATACAACCACAACTGTTACAACTGATAACGGAGCGCTCAAGCGGGTACTGCGAGTCATATTGAGGTAATTAAAATGTCAATTTAATATTTTGCATTCAATTGTTTACTTACCAGGCAAGTGGCTGCATGATAAGCGCGAAAATTACGCAGTGTAGTCTTTATCACCCTGCAGAGGTTTCTTTTGCAAAATAATCTGCTGACTGTACACGATCCCTCAGTTTGGGAACCACTGGAGTAGGCGATTTGCGCTCTATTAATTTGGTCTGTTACGATGCTCTACATGTTTGATTACTAATGCCGGTGTAGTATAACGTTCAGCCTCGACTCTTAATCATCATTTGTGTTAAAATTTGCAAAGCATACCAAATAGAACAAAACTATATAAATGCAAAATTTGAATTCATGAATATATAACGGTATCCACGGTATAGAGAATGAGAATGTGATGTAACGCCGCGTTGAGTTCTGGGAAACTGCTTTGTTTATCCGCCATACTTGCA